GCTTGCAACAATTTAGGTATCTACTGCCCCCTATCATCAGTAAAAATACACACTGTCACTTTAACTTTATTTTCTTTGCTTATATTCTATAGAGAAGACAACTGGTCAAACCTTCCTGTGTTTGTCCCTGTCTCCTGTCCTCTAGTATACCAGTCGGTCCAATCTGGTCCTGGTTTTGGTTCTGCTGCATGTTTATTCCTGTTAAAATGGGCTTTTCGTTCCAATGTCACCCATTGTGCAAATGGTGGTTACCATGGTGACTCTAATCAGCCACTGGCAGCAGCTTTAACATTTCTGTTGGTCCTTACTTTTCTTCTTCAGAGGTGATGTTAGAGGTTCAGACAGTAGCTTCTAAGCTAGCCTCCAGAATGTCTTCTTGAGTATGTTAGTGTTGTTTATTTAGTTGGGAATGTTTAAAGCAAACAACAGCATCTATAACCTGTTCATTGGATGCATAAAACAGAATAAGTTAATATGATATTTTAATATCACTGAACACATTTATAACAAATCGGTTTTTGAGGGGTTAAATGTTGACCTCACTGCTTTAGGTGAAACCAGCTTCATCCCAGTGTCTCTGAACTGAATCTGTTCCTGTTTGTTCTCTAAACAAAAACACAGCATGTTGCTGAGTTAATGCTGATCCAGGCAGTGGCGGTTCTACATCGAATTACTCCCCGGGCGAGGCCCCCTTTGAGCGCCCCCCCCCCACCACCACCACCACCACCACACCACCCCACCTGCATAAACACACGCATGTTTTCTACAAACAGGCATGTTTTATTAGAACGACTATTGAACATTCATTTTTCTAAGTTGCACATATTTACATTAATTACTATGAAGTTGTCAGAATGTAAAGCAATACACATTATATACTGTATCAAAATATATAGAATCAAATATACAAAAACAAACAATAACTAAATATTAAGAATATATGAACATAGTATATAATAAATATTCTAAATAGCAAAAATATTTCACACATAACAAACTAAAGATAATCACTACAGCATTGCACTTAGAACAGAAAACACAAACTAAAATTAAAACCTAACCTTGATGCAACGTCATCAATAATGTCATCATATGAAATCTGCTCCCCTACTGAGTGATTGATACTAATCAGAGCCAGGTTAGTGAGCCGCCCCTGAAACAAAGTTGACCTCAGGTATGACTTGATCAAGTTTGAAAAGCTCCTCTCAGCTTGAGCCACAGTGACTGGCAGAGCAGTCCAAAAGTTGGGGTAGATCTCCAATAGATCTCATGATCCATGATATTTTAGAATTGCCTCTGAAATTGTAATTTAAACTGACATAAAAAACTGTAGACTAACAAAAATGCCAACTTTTACAGAACAAATCATGTAAAATAATCAGTGCAGCCATCTGCAATAAATAAACAGGATAGTTAGTGGTGACTGGGAAGTTTTCTTCTGCTTGTAGAGCTGTTTTATTTATTATTATGTGAACATGATCAACATGTGTTTGTTGTTGTTCAGGCAGGCCACAGGCTGCAGCGAGCATTTAACAAATCCTAGTTTGAGTCAGTAAAAAACGATTCAAGGACTTTTTTCGAACCATTTGAATATTCGTTTCAATATTTCAGCCCTATTAGCTCTGTTAGCCATTAGTTGACCGCATTTAACCGTTAAAATCCCAGTTAACTGGTTCAAAAAATTGAAAACATGCATCATGAGAGCGAACATACCTTTATTTTTCTCCTCTTTTTTTTCCCCCTGAATGGGGCACCTGGTGGTTTTAGCCTTTTTATGTTCATCTCTTCTGTTTGGCTCCTGACTCAGTAAGTTTTCTTTAGTCAGGACTAAACAAGTTGACCTTGATGGGGGGGGGGGGGGACCACAAAATCGTTTTGTTTTTCCTTTTTTTATTCGGCCATTTCACACAATTCAGAGAAACCTGAAAGAATGATAGGCCTGTGTTTATGATATTATGAATGAAATATGGAAGAACGTTAAGATGTGATTGACTTTAGCCATGTTAACACAGTTGATTCAGCCCCTGCACGCTCATTTAATTTGGGAAAGACGCAGAGGTGAATTCCCCCACTGCACCCCTCCCCTTCCTGTTCTTCATAGACACACGGTGCACGTGAATGTTCTCAGTCAGCAGGAGCGCCTGCAACTGCAGGGGGCGCCAACTTGCTGTTTCCAATCCAGACACTGTCATATGACAGATAATAGAAAACCTCGGCGCGGCGCAGATTTCCTTTTTTTTTTTTTTTTACTCAGCGCTTGTGCGCCCCTTTTGTGTCATGAAAAAATGCCGCCCCGGGCAACTGCCCTGTCTGCCCGTGCCTAAAACCGCTACTGGATCCAGGAACAGTGGCAGCGTCTTATTTACTGTACAACACAAGAGCGACTCTGAGCTCTTCACTGGGATAAACACTCTAGATGTTTTACCTGGAAGTTTGTGTTCTGTTGTCCTTTTTTCTGTTAAATTTTTTTTAATAAAGTTTGATTTTGTTTCTTCTGCTGTGAACTGAATCAACTCATTTTTGTGTTTAATGCAACAAGCTAGCAGGTGAATGAGGTGAAGTCTTGGCTAATGGCCAACGATCTGCATCTGGATGAGGGAAAGACAGAGCTCATTGTCTGTCACCCCAACAGCAGGGCTGTGGGTCGTTATGTTGATCTCGGCCCTCTTTCTCCCCACTCAAAACCAATCGTCACCAGTCTGGGGGTGAAAATTGACGCTGGACTTAAATTTGATGCTCACATCAACTCTGTGATCCGGTCCAGTTTCTTTCATCTGAGACACCTTGCAAAAATCAAGCCTATGCTGTCGAGAGCCCACCTGGAGCGGGTACTGCATGCTTTTGTAATTTCTAGGCTTGATTACTGCAACTCTCTCTATGCAGGTGTTGTGCCAAAGTAGTTACCCCCGTCAAAAATTGTTTCCCCATTCACGGGAGTGCGCAAAGTAGGAGGAGCCACTTGCCCAGCTCCGTTCTGTACGCTACTTGTCACTGAAAGCTGGAAAATAGCAGGCTCGATTCAGTTAATATTAGTTTCGTGACATTGTAATGTGCCGTGTGGAACAACCTGCTGGGAATACTTTGTATAGAAAAATACTTTGATACTAAAATACTGTAAAACCAGATGTGATCATGGAAACACGTTGCTTCCGGTGAATTTACACTCGGTTTACACTTTGTTTTTGTTGGCGTTGCTATCACCAAATAGTTTATTTGCTAAATCAATCACAGTATAACCAATAACTACAGTAACGTTGCAGAGGGTTTCTTCACAGCAAACGTTAAGGAGGGATACAGATTTTATCAGGCTGTGTGGCACCAGCTGCCAAGGTGTGCCCCCCCCCCCCAATACAAAGTATTCCCAACGGAGCTGGGCAAGTGGCTCCTCCTACTTTGGGCGCTCCCGTGAATGGGGAAACAATTTTTGATGGGGGTAACTACTTTGGCACAACACCTGTCTGGGTCAGTCATCACTGCTCCGCCTACAGGTTGTGCAGAACAGCGCAGCCAGGTTCCTGACTGGGACCACATCAGTCCGGTTCTGGTCTCCCTGCACTGGCTTCCGGTCTGTTATCGTTCACACTTTAAACTCCTCGTCTTTGTTTTTAATTTCTTCCAGGGTGGTGCTCCCCCCTATCTAGCCACACTCCTGAACAGACACTCCCCATCACGCGCTCCTCTGACCAAGGCCTGCTCGCTGTCCCTCGTTCTAGGTGTCGTACTCGCGGGTGTCACGTCTGGGTACTGCTCTGTTTGTTTCTTCCCTGCAGGTCGGTGTGGCTGAGACTCCCCAGCTGTCTGGCATCATCATCAAGGCACCAGAGTATTGAAGGAGCAGCGTAGCGTGACTCTTCTCCACTTCTCCACGCTGGTTGATTACTCAGTTTGGGTAGATCTGATCACCAGTCCTGCACTTCTGTCAGCAATCTGCCTGTTTGTGTGTTAACCCGTCTGCTTCATCTACTCCTGTAACAATAACCCCGGATCTACATACCACGTCTCACTGCCCACCTCTGGTCGCCCGCTCTCAGTCCCCCACCTGCCGCTACCTCCAGGATCTTCCACTCACCCAGACCTGACTCACCTCCCCCCCGCTTCCCTTCATCCTGAAGAACGTAAGCCTCAGCGACTGTTCATATCCTCCTGCCATCTGCCCTCTCAAACTTCTCAGCATACTCACTGTTCTCCTCTCTAGATCCCGTCCCGCCGAGCACCCGTCCTCCAAATAAGCGTTATTCCTGCTTCTTTGCAGCGCCCTGAGTTCACGTTTATTCTCCCACTTATTTTAATAAATCCTATTTATCCTACCTTCCGTTGTCCTTGGTGATTCTGTATGTCATGGGTCAAACACCTGGTACCCAACATGACAGCGGGGACCGGGCTTTCCCAGCACCGTCACTATGTACCAGTTGCCACCCTCAGTTAGGCTGTCCCCATCTCTGCCAGTCTTTAAGAGTCGCCTAAAAACCCACCTCCTCCGCTTACAGCGGTGAAGTTAGCTTGAAGTTGGAACCAGACTAAACCAGACTTGTTAGGCTCTAGGACGAAGCCAGACTCTAAAGTCTCAGCTGGATGTCAACAGCTGGCTTTGTGGGACAGAACCCGGTTTCTGCAGAATCGTTTCTACAAAAGTGTTTTCAGCACAGCAGCACATCGATATGTGTTTACAGTCAGAAAGAAACTGAATTTATGAGCAGGAATTTAGCAGCGGGCCATGGAGGAAAGTCCTGAGCTGTGTCCGAATCAGTACGCTACCAGGAAGCAAATAGCAGCAACACTGGAAGAGGCAGAGGGCAGCAGAAAGTTTCTCTCAGCACCTTGAGACCAGATCGGGTTCTGGTTTTGCTCATTAAAGTCACATTGATCATGAGGATTCTGGAGAGCCTGGACAACCAGACAACAGGACTACTACCCTACTGGACCCTCTGTGTGGTTCCTGGGACCACTGCACCAGAACCGAAGGCTGAGGGAACAGAGGGAGGACAGCCAGCAGTCAAGGCTTCAAAGTCAAAGTGAGATTTATTCAACTCCAACATGCTGAACAATATAAATATTACAAAACATTCAAACTTCAACAGTTTACAAAAACTCCCAGCAGCTCCTTAAAGTTGCCAGCTCATGTTTTATTCATCAGCTGCTTCCAGATCAGCTGACAGAAAACCTTTCAGAGCAGATTTAATATATTTAACTGCTACATTAGTGTCATGAACAGCTGACACAGCGTGACGTGTTTCAGACCAGCAGCACTGCTGAGCACCCGTGTTTTGATAGCAGGCTGCGGTCGTCACTAACATGAAAACCCAAACATTTACTTCTAGAGGTGTGGCTCTTCTCTGGTTCCAGATAAGGCTCTGGGTTCCTCCAACTCAAGAACCGAACATGCAAACTTTCTTTGGTATTGAAACAAAACAAGCAATCACAACTAGCTACAGATTTTTGTGACTTTAAACCAGATTTATTTCAAAGCTGTTTGTTGTGTTTCCTGTGAAAGAAACTTTAACCTCTGATGGTTGTTTGGCCGTAGACTCTGAAGCAGAAACACACCAACACACCAGACCATTTAGCTGAAACATTTGATCAGATCTGGAGAAACAGGAAACAGCTGTTCTGGGACCAGTCAGACAAAGCTCCTGCAGTGAGATAAATCAACATTTTACTTGTTGACATTAGTAATGCTCTGTAAACGACCAACTGTTTTTGGTTTTGCTTGTTTTTAAAACCGCTAAGAACAGATTAAATAATGCTGTTTCTGCACTTAAGAGGCAGGAATATCCTTTAAAGCTTTATAACTGGTGAATAAAACAACGCTTGGTGGAACGTAGTTCCACTTTTGTTTTACGGAACAGTAAATGAAAGAGTCTGTAGGTGATTGCAGCTGGAGCCAGAAGGGGCTGGTTCTCTGATGTTTTTACAGAGGCAGCACGTAAAACCGTTTCCTATGTCTGGCAGCAGAACGCCTCCTGTCTGGTTTAGTCTCAGAGGGGGGTCAGATCCTCAGAAAGCCAAAGTGACGAGCAGGAAGGTGGTTTTCTTTGGTCCTGGGTGAAATATTCCTCCAGTATTCCACTTCCTGGTCATCCACCAGCACGACTTCAGCACTTGGTTGTAGATGACATCTCGCTGCCCGCTTTCATGTCCATCTTGGCGACCAACAGCCTGAGAGAGTCACCCGATGATCGAATCAGCTCTCTACCACTGCAGAACCAAACAAGACAAGCTGTGAGATAATAATAATAATAATAATAATAATAATAATAATAATAAAAATAATAATAATGGCCTGTATTTGATATAGCGCCTTCTAGAGACCTGGAACCCCCCAAGGCGCTTTACAACACAATCAGTCATTCACCCATTCACACATACATTCACACACTGGTGGGGATGAGCTACAACGTAGCTACAGCTGCCCTGGGGCGCCCTGACAGAGGCGAGGCTGCCGAGCACTGGCGCCACCGGTCCCTCCGACCACCACCAGCAGGCAAGGTGGGATAAGTGTCTTACCCAAGGACACAACGACAGCGACAGACTGAGTGGGGCTCGAACCTGCAACCTTACGTTTAATTATTATTATTATTATAATAAACACTTTATGGGTACTTGAGGAGAAATGACTCCTCTGGGGAGCAGTGAGCTGTATTTGTACTAGGGCTGTACGATGCGATGTGCGATAACGGTGATTAATACTGGCGACGAACACATCGTTATCTCAAGACCAAAACATTTAAAGAAAATAAATAAAATAAAAACATGACTAAAGAATATTAAAAGATGGGAAAAGCAAAAATTGTGATCTAAAGATGTGAGGACCTACACGTTGTACTCCATCCCGACCAGGCTGACTCCGTTCACAGCCAGAATTCGGTCCCCAGTTCTGAGTTTCTGACACCGAGCAGCCGGGGAGTCTGGAACCACGGACTTCACGTAGATGCCATACATCTGCAGAGGAGTTCTCTGAACAAACAAAAACATGCTCAGACCTGGGGCAAGATGAGGAACGAGAGGAATGAAAGCTCGAAGCTGTCACACCATTCCATCTACTAGAGCCAGTCCGAGACCGTGTGGTCCTCGATGGATCTCTACTGTGAACACTTCCTCTTTGTCTTCGTCCACACTTCCTGTCCTGCTCTCACTGGCTGAACAAACAGAAAACACATCAGATCAGAGACCAGATAGATACAATTAGGTTAATACTGGACATAGCACTACCATAGACGGATATTAGAACAGCATCAACATGAATGGGTCTCTACTCTGTCCATGTTTAGGTCACATACCTCAATAGCATCTACCAGATAAAGTCAGTATGAGTTACTTTAAGTCCAACCTGAATAACTCAGAGCCCTAAACATGTTGTTTTAGAAGGAAGACATAAAGAAATTATGCCAGGGTAAATAAGAAATTTGCTCTTAATAAGTTTTTCTTGCCTGGTTAAATAAAGAAAGGAAGGAAATGTGAGTCTTATATTCACCCTGACTGGGATCAAGTATCAAACCAGCAGGCAGCTGGTACCAGAGACGATTCCTTTAAAGGTTATTTTCTATGTAATTTTTGACAGTGTTTAAGACTTTTATCCAATTGTAACACTATTTAAACTACAATGGCAAAACAAGTTCATCCCTCTGAACAACGTTAAGATAGTATAGCTATAAATATATTGTGGAGATTAAAGGGGAACTGGGCAGTTTTCGCTTGCTTTTAGCACCCCCTAGTGTCCGTTTAGTAGAACCAAAAACAAAACTCGCTGTGTGTTCGTCTTTTTAACACCTTCTAACAGCTGAAATGTCTCTCAGCCTTCCTCAGTGTCTAAAGGAGTCAGCCGTGTTCACGATCTAATGCATGTCAGCTCAATTTTTCTCAGTCCCAACAGAGCAACCCACCAGTCTGAAGTTGCAAATGCAGTATTCTGGCCAAGGGGGCGACGAGGGATTTGTGGTCATTCGTTAACCCTGTACAGGGTTATCTTAGCACTTACTGGCTCAAGAAAATGATTTAAAAATATACAAAATTTGCAAAGTATTCCTTTAAAAAATAAAACAAAATGAAGTGGTTCTCTTGCATTTGTCTAAAAAAATGAAAGAGAGAGCATCTTTGTACATCATTACCTTAGACCAAGTGATCCAGTTTAACCCCTCCCCTCATCTGCACCAATCGGGTGTTTTTAATCATCTAATAACTGATTCCTGCTAAACCCAAATATCTAATCATCCAGCAGCAAGGTGAGAACTGTGTGGATCTGCAGGAGTCAACACCTGGAAACAGGATCTGAGACAGATTTTAATATTTTAATCATTGGTTTCCATAAAGGGGGTGGAGCACTAGGGGCTTTGTCTCCTTCCACCTAAAGGTGTGGTTCACTCATTTAAAGTGGGAGTCAAGGCGTGGGTGGAGACTTATTTCATCCACACTTCCTGTCAGGAAAACGCTTCTAAAAGAGGCGTCTCCTGGCGGACCGAGAGACCGGCACTGAGGCAGTGATAGACGCCACCCCCTCACTATACAGTATCTATACAGGTTATCAGCAAAAAAAGGTTTTACTTGATTTGCAGCGGTCTCTAGTAGGAATCAATGCCTTAGAAGTCATACTCTGGGTACAAAAAGCCCTGGAGCGCGTGCTTCGGGATCTAGAAGATTACCAGATCAGAGGAGAGCTTCAAATGACAGGATTTGGAGTCTTACTTCCTGATACTTGGACATCTCACCTCTGATTGGCTAAAGGTTGGTTTATACTTGACGCATCCGTGAGGTCCGCACGGCTCCGCGCGGAAAAGTTGCGTCATTTTAACAACCACGCCCCTCCATGGCCCAAAATTTCCGCAAAGCGCACGTAGGAAATTTTCTAACCACGCGGACGGTCGGACGTGGAAAAACATGGCGGACTGGCAAGAACTAGTATGGCAGAGGTTCGTAAATACAGACATTTGTATGATTCAGCTCTCAGAGATCACCGTGATCAACATGTTGTTAATAATTCTTGGAGAGAAATAGCTCGCACTGTCGGAAAAGACGAGGACGCTGTTAAAAATGCGGAAATGCCATGTTGTAAACAGTCATTTCTACTTCTACTATGGTGTAGTGTTGGATTTCAATTCAATTCAATTCAAGTTTATTTATATAGCGCCAAATCACGACAAGAGTCGTCTCAAGGCACTTTACATAATAAACATTCCAATTCTCAGTTCATTAAGCCAATCAGAAATAATGTTTCCTATATAAGGAACCCAGCAAATTGCATCAAGTCACTGACTAGTGTCAGTGACTATACAGCAATCCTCATACTAAGCAAGCATAAAGCGACAGTGGAGAAGAAAACTCCCTTTTAACAGGAAGAAACCTCCAGAGAATCCTGGCTCAGTATAAGCAGCCATCCTCCACGACTCACTGGGGATGGAGAAGACAGAGCACACACACACACACACACACACACACACACACACACACACACACACACACACACACACACACACACACACACACACACACACACACACACACACACACACACACACACACACACACACACACGGACAAGTAATGTGTCTACAGTTAAATTATGATGTCTTAGTAAATATTCTATTTGGTGAGAGATAAACTTTATTGTATTTATCCTAGTGGATCTATAATTAAACGGGCAAACTAGTAGTAGCACATCCAACGTCAAGGAAACCAAAAAGTTATTATCAGGAGAGGGAGAATGTTTTAGTGGTTAGCAGCAGTGTGCTAGTCGATGGCCCCCTCCATCGACTAGCACACCACAGCTCAGCAGAACGTCATTGTCGCTTCTTCTGGGGAGAAAAACACTTAGAGAGAAAAAAAAGTTAACAGCTGAAATAGCAGGAAATAATACAGTTAAAGAGCAGACTGTAGAAGAAAGTAGTAGAGTGTGAGAAGTGGTCAGTGTGTCCTCCAGCAGTCTAACCCCGGCTTTCCACAGGAGCCGTCAGCAGCACGTTACTGCAGCAGCACGTCATAGCTGCTGATAGGAACGGCTGTGGTCAACAGAACCTTTTCCACAGGAGCCGTCAGCAGCGCGAGTCGGCCGAGTCTCAGGAGCAGCATGTCGCGGCCTTTACGCGCCGGTTCTATTTCCTACGCGCGACGCCTCTGAAACGGGTCAAGTTCGACATTTTTGGGGAAGGAAAGACAGGAAATCGGACGCGGAAATGGAGAGAAGCTCCCGAGATTTTCAGAATAAAGAACGTACTGCCTTCCGGTCGCTTTACTTTAAAAAAGGTTACTAACTGTGCGGCCCCGTGAGAAGTTATCACCTAGCTAGCGGTCTCCTTTGTTTTTCAGGTCCGTATTGGCGATTATAAAACGGACAGAATATAAAAACACAAACATTTTGGAGCCATGTTGTAGTTTTCTCCTGCTTGTTGTTGTGTTTACTGACGAAGTCACTCGTGTGACTTCGTGCCCTGTCGGAGACAGCTGCTCCTCTGCTGCGTCGCGTCTCGTGGGAAGGGCCAAGCAGCAGCTAGACGTGCTGCTGCAGTAACGTGCTGCTGACGGCTCCCGTGGAAACCCGGGGTAAGCCTATAGCAGCATAACTACAGAGATAACTCTGGATAATCTATCCTATTTAGATGTAGGCATGCTGGAGGCAGGGCAAGGGAGAGCCGTCTTTACCGACTGTGCACTCCACCTCCCTCTACTCCCCCACTTGTCCAGATTTAGGCTAACATCAGATTTTAACTATAGGCCCTATCAAATAAAAATGTTTTAAGCCTATTCTTAAAAGTAGACAAAGTGTCTGCCTCACGGACTAAAGCTGGGAGCTGGTTCCACAGGAGAGGAGCCTGATAACTAAAAGATCTGCCTCCCATCCTAATTTTAGATATTCTGGGAACCACCAGTAGACCTGCAGTCTGAGAGCGAAGTGCTCGGTTAGGAACGTATGGAACAATCAGATCACTGATGTATGATGGAGCTTGATTATTAAGAGCTTTATATGTGAGAAGAAGGATCTTAAAATCTATTCTGAATTTAACAGGTAGCCAATGTAGGGAAGCTAAGACAGGAGAGATATGATCTCTCTTTTTAATTCTCATCAGAACTCTAGCTGCAGCATTTTGGACAAGCTGAAGACTTTTAACTACATTCTGTGGACTTCCTGAGAGTAATGAATTACAGTAATCCGGTCTTGATGTAATAAATGCATGAACTAGTTTTTCAGCATCACTCCTGGAAAGGATGCTTCTAATCTTAGCAATATTCCGAAGGTGGAAAAAGGAAATCCTACAAACTTGTGAAAGCTGGGATTTGAATGACATGTCCTGGTCAAAGATAATACCAAGGTTCCTTACTTTGTTCTCGGAGATTAATGTAATGCCATTAAGGTCAGGCGATTGGCTAAGCAATTTCCTTTTCTGGATTTCTGGTCCAAAGATGAGAACTTCCATCTTGTCTTGATTTAAAAGCAAAAAGTTTAGAGTCATCCAATTTTTTATGTCCTCAAGACAAGCCTGTAATCTACCCAACCGATTAGGTTCATCAGGGTTAATGGATAAATATAGCTGAGTATCGTCAGCATAACAGTGGAAGTTTATCCCATGCTGTCTAATGATTTTACCAATTGGGAACATACATATAGTAAAAAGAATTGGTCCAAGCACTGAACCCTGTGGTACTCCACAAGTAACCCTGGAGTAAGAAGAAGATTTGTCATGTACGTTTACAAAATGAAATCTGTCAGACAGGTAGGATTTAAACCAGCCTAACACTGTTCCTTTGATCCCTACAACATGTTCAAGTCTTTCTAAAAGAACATTGTGATCAACTGTGTCAAAGGCAGCACTGAGATCTAACAAGACTAGAACAGACACAAGATTCTTATCTGAGGCCATGAGAATATCATTTGTAACTCTCACTAATGCAGTTTCGGTGCTGTGATACTCTCTAAAACCAGACTGAAATTCCTCAAACAGAGCATTAGTGTTTAAATGCTCACATACTTGGATGGCCACTATTTTCTCCAGGACTTTGGATAAAAATGGAAGGTTAGATATTGGTCTATAATTCATTGGGTCATCTGGATCCAGAGAAGGCTTCTTAAGTGAAGGTTTGATTACAGCAACCTTAAAATCTTGTGGTACATACCCATTTACTAAGGATAGATTGATTATATCTAGAATGGGGACAGTAACCAAAGGAAATGCTTCTTTAAATAATTTGGTTGGGATTGGATCCGAAATGCAAGTGGAAGGTTTAGATGAAGCTAATATTTTTGATAACTCTGAAAGCTCAACTGGATCAAAACGGTTCAAGCACAGATGAGGTTCTACAGTCACCTCTGATGCTGCCTCACTTACTGAGGAAGAAGAAATCGCATTAGGGAGGATGCTAAAGATTTTGTTTCTAATAGAATTAATTTTACTTGTAAAAAATCCCATGAAGTCATTGCTGCTGAGGGCTAAGGGAATAGATGGCTCAGAGCTATGATTCTGTGTAAGTTTAGCAACTGTACTGAAAAGAAATTTAGGATTATTTTTATTCTCCTCAATTAATGCTTAAAAATAAGCAGTTCTAGTTTGTTGAAGCTTGTTTTTATAAAGCACAAGACTATTTTTCCAGGATAGGTAGGCCTCCTCATGGTGCGTAGAGCGCCATGTTCTCTCCAATTTCCTAGAGTTTTGTTTTAAGGCTCGTAAATGAGAATTAAACCAGGGAGCCAACTTCCTGTCCCTAATTACCTTATTTTTTAAAGGGGCAACATCATCTAATGCCACACGTAAAGAGGAATTAACATGATGAACTAAGGCATCAATTTGTGAGGGGCTAGAACTGAAAATATTGCCCTCTGTTACGTTCCTCTGAGATGCTGAGGACGGTAAAGATGGAACAGTTGATTTAAAAGATGCAACTGCGTTGTCAGATAGAGACCGACTATAGTGAAATTTACTTTCATGTCCCGAGAACTCAGTTATAAAAAAACTCAAAGGTTATCAGAAAGTGGTCCGAGAGGACTGGATTATGTGGAAAGATCGTTATTTCCTCACACTCTATGCCATAAGTCAGAACAAGGTCCAATGTATGATAGCAGGAGTGGGTGGAGCTATGTATTATTTGAGGAAAACCAATTGAGTCTAAGATATTACTAAAGGCTACATTGAGGCTATCATTTTCAATGTCCACATGTATGTTAAAATCCCCCACTACAATGACCTTATCAGTATTTAGCACCAAATCAGATAAAAAATCAGAGATCTGATCCAAAAACTCAGAGTAAGGGCCTGGTGGACGATATCAAACTACAAACAAGGGTAGTTTTACAGTTTTGCAATCTGGATTAGGAAAACTAAGGATAAGATGTTCAAACGAACTGTAACTATTAATCTGTAAGGGACTGATTAATAAGTCCGAGTGAAAAATGGTTGCCACTCCTCCTCCTCGCCCTGTACTTCGAGCAATATGATGATTTAAATAATTTGAAGGAGTCGACTCGTTTAAGCTAACATAGTCCTCTTGCTGCAGCCAGGATTCTGTGAGAGAGCAAAGAGATCTGATTATCACAAATCAAGTCAAAGTCTTAGAAAAAATGGATCTAATGTTCAACAACCCACTTTTAATTTTTCTAGTTTTCTGCTCAATTGAATTTGTTCTAATATTTATGAGATGCATGCCGTAGAGCTCCATGCTGCCCCCTACAGTTTGGGAGAATATTGGCTCATCGCAGAGACAAGCCGCATGAACCATAAACGCTGGAAGTTGTGAAGCGCGTTCCATCCGCGAGCCGCATCACCGCGCGGAACGTAAATGCGTCAAGCATAAACCAGGCTTAACACCAGCGTGACTCTGCCAGTGGCTCCATTTACTTTGTGACATGGATTTTGTATCTCCAAGATAACAAGCCTGGAGGAGTTCTGCTGTGTGGTGGAGTTGCTATTGCTAACGGTTAGCTTCTATTAGCTGAGACTTCCTCTACGGCTTCCTGGACACTAAACCAACAACAGCCTTCTCATCGTGAGTCAAGATGGATGAGTCCATAAATGTTAAGTGATGTTTCACCATCTATGTTCTACCAGAAGCTAATGCACGATAGGTGTAGGAGACTACTTTGTGTTGCGCCTGCATGAAAAACTCAGAGTGACTGATTATAAGCGGGAAAACATTACTGAAAAATAGTTTTTCACCTTCAACATCATCTTGTGTTCCTCCACTGAATCAAACATCTTCTCTTCTGGCATCCGAGGGTCTTTTACCACGTAAACAGCACCCCTCACCCCTTCACCCATGCAGCTCCACCCTTCCTCTCACGCTTTTTTCCCAGCATGTAGCCCATCTGCCCCCCACGCAGGACCTGTCGTGAACAATGCTGCTGCCGATTAAGATTCCACACACCAACCCAGCTGTGAATTCCCATGACAGACCGGCCGCTGCTCTTTTCTCTCCTGACATCACCACCTCGCTGTAGCTCCTCTGGACAGATTAAAGGATTACCAGACTTCAAAATACCAGTTCACTACAGTCACAGAGGTAGGGGTGGAGGCTGAGGCATGGCTTGGTGTGCTGAGACAACGATGATGATGATGATGACGGCACAAAACAAACGCAAGAAGTGCTCCACAGTTCAGCTGCGTTATTTACCTTTACTCTCTGTAAGGTTGTGCTGACACAAAAACAACGAGACACAGATTGGAAATCCATCAGCACCTCTGTCAGGATTCTAGCCTCTAACATAAACAAGTTTAGATGATTTCTTTTTCGTTATGGTAAACCAGCCAGGAAAAAGTCACTAAACTAAACCATCAACAGACAGTTCACTCGTCAGGACTTTAGCTAACTAACCAACTAACTAACTAATTACATTTCTTCTTTTTTTATTTATTGTCTTATAAAAGTTTAAGTGCCACCCCTTAATTACCTTATAGGGGCACACAGACTGGGCCAGATGGTTGTGGTTTCTGTTTAATCCTTGATGCATTTAAGCAAATTGGTTTGAATAAAAACACAAAGACAACCAGAACCAATGAGAGTAAAGACACCTGATTAAGATCAACTAAATCCTGCAGCTTAAACTCCTACATGGGGGTCGGGTGAACCAGAAACACATGACAGACTTAGAGCTTGTTTCAATCACAACTAAAATCTACATCAAGTCGTCAAACTCCTAAAATCTCTGCAGACTAAATGTTCAGAAAAAGTTTCATTTCTTTCTGTGGTTAGAGGTCTGCTTGCTGCTAACAGAAGCCTGGTCAGTCAGAACCTCCCACACCAGCTCAGACAGCAAGATATCGACTCATTTAGCTTGTTCAGCATCAGCAGGGTGGAGAACTTCTGCGGAGGGTTAGTCAGCCTGTAAGAGGACAGAAATCTTTACCTAAAACACGTCACCACCACTATGTGCTGTTTACAAAGATAACTTGTTTTTGAAGACGAGTGACACCGGAGACGGCCACTAGGAGGCATCATTACAACACCTGTGGCTCCAGGTTACAACTAGCCTCTTCAGTAGAACACGCAGAAGGAATATAACAGACCTAAAAAATTTAATGAACAGCTGGCAGCAGACTGTAGATGTAACCTAAACTAAACCAGTGAATAAAATGTGTGACTAACATTAGAAACTTCAACTAATGCAACAAACATGGTTGCTAGTATCCCTATGTCTACGCATAACTGGAAGTTAAGAGTTTATCCAGCTTTTATTTCATCCTGTAGGATAAAAAACCCAAAGTGACGAATCTTTGACCTGTTTTTAGAACATTAGTCTCTGTGGGTTTTAGACTGCTGGCTGCACTAACAGTTGGGTACTGTAACTGACCACTAGGGGGCGACTGGCATATCTCAGCCTTTTCTGATAAAAGTTGACAAACATTTTTTTCTAACGAAGCTGGGCGTTACAGCAGCCATCGGGCTAGTCAGACGCTGACCGGAGGAAACAGAAAGGTCTGTGTTTCAGCTCCTTTACCTGACCCAACGGCCGTTCGGATTCCAATTAAAAACTATGACTTTCCTTAGACTCCCACAGATGACCTCATGATGGAGGCGGCCATAAACAATAGGGGTGGGAGAGGAAGCAGTCCTTCCTTTGTACGGAGAACCCACCCTGCAGCCTTCCACTCCACATTCCTGACCTCCACATGAAGGGAGGGGGGCTCTTTCATGTCTGGACACCTTTATGTGGACATGGAACCTCAGATGGTCCACAGGGTCAGGTCCTTTTACTCTTTATTGGCTTCTGCTGTTAAAGCGGTTTAAGGAGCAATGGTTCCAGAACCAGGTGTGATCTGTATGTCATTAGAAAAATGCCGTTAGCAGGTCTCTCAGATGGTCGTTATCACAGGGTTTAGTCTTAGTTTCACGTTTCTGAGAACGTTCTTCTGCTTCTTCAGACTTTAGATTCTACCGGGACTTTAGAAGGGAGTTCAGCCCCAAACCTGAAACCTTAAGAACTTTAAACGAACCATGGAAGACAACGCATCAAGATGGTTTTAGGTGCTACCTTTCCTCAGCTGTCGGGCGCCCTCCTGTAGATCAGCTTCCAGCTCAGAGAGGTCCATCCCTTGGGGGGTGTTGGGCGGGGTGAGCAGGCAGGACGGGTCCAGAGCCAGGCTCTTGTGGTAGCCCGTGTCAGCCCGTCTAGGAAGCGTGTTCTGAAGCTCCAGGTTCTTCAGCTTCTGGGTAAGCACAGCTTCAGAGCTGCTCAGGTCACCATGAGATCCTCGGGCCTGAGCTGGTTCTGCAGGAGGGGCCCGGTCCTGCTCTCCCTCAGGGCAGGGGCCAGCAGAAGGCCCAGAGACCACCTGGTGGGCCGACAGACCATTAGGAACCTGGGTTTGGGGAACATAAAGTTAATCAATAACAGAAGTAGAACTTTCAAAGCATCTCATTCCCCGACTTCTCATTACAATGTCGGGTTATGGTTCTCGTTACATGTTTGCCTCCATCCTGTCCGGCTAGAGTTTCACTGCGATGCAGCCGACCCACGAAGTCCTGCAGACGAGCGAGCTGTTGAAACAGAGCCGGCTCCACGGTGGGTTTACTGAGCTCCAGGTGGAAGGTGCTGCTGGGCAGGATGAGTGGCGGGTGGTTGTCAAAACTCTCCAGGATGTCTCCTTTAGGAAGGAAGAAACATTACCGTCCGCTACAGTTAGCAGAACTCCTGAATGACTCGCTAACCAAACGCCATCGTTTAACTTTGGCTTTACAGCTAATTAGGAGCAGAACACCAAGTCCTGCTGGGTCCTGATCAGATGACTCGGTGAGTGAGGGCTGATGTGGTGGCCATCTTAGAAAAGCTTTAGGTCAGAGAACATCTTCATGAAGAAGTTCCATCTAGAAACAGGTTTTTCTGTTTTAGCTTCAGGTCCAATTCAAACAGGAACCCAAACAGAACAGACTTGGCTGTCGTCATGACTGAACTCGGACCTGTCATCTGATTTCATTGTGTCATTAAACGTCTTCCTGTCCTTGCTGTTGTTCACCGGGTCTTGTGCGGTCGGACATTCCAGCTGTCAAGTTTGAAAATGTGAACTTGATTTTCCCCACCAGGAGTCTGGTTGTTCCAGTTTACTGTAAACAACGTCCTCCTGAGGAAGAACCAACCTACACACACAGAGACTCCACCAGCGTGCACGTGATCTGTGGATACTCCACTCCTGTTGTGTTTCTGTTGAATGAGTGAACACTTGAAACATGAAGATCTCGTTTTAAAAGCATTTTTAACAGAAACCCGCAGTAGCTGATAAATCCTTCCTGTCCACGGGGTTTCTATCTCACCTGTCCTGAGGGTGTCCTCTGTGTCCTCTGGAGACGGACTCCACTCAGCGGGACAGGCCTTACCGGCGCTGTACTCCCTCAGCATGTGGTGAAGCTGGGGCGGGCTCAGAGCGGCGAACTCCATCCTGAGAGAGGTCCAGGACGCCTGCGTCAAAACAAAACAACAAAGAAAGGCTTTTCTCAGCCTGTCATGATCTCCACCGACGGTTTATTTTAAGAGCAGACCACACAACCTCCTCATTACTCTGAGAGAAAGGCAGAGGAGAGGATTCTCCTCTACTCTGGTCTATGATGATCTCTCATTTGTGTAAAAATATATCAACATGTCTGCCTCATGGGAGAATCCCCCTGATGATTCCATTTACACCACTAGTTGAAGCTGCTGCGGCTCCTGACTACCCGTGCCGTTTAGGCGCTGAGTGATAGTTATTTTTGTTTTGATCGTGGTGAAAAGCGCCGCTGTCAGAGTCCTCTTCCGCAGGAATGGTTATCATCACACAGCAGCTCAACAAGTTGGAAAGTGACATTTGACCTCTTAGTGACCTGTGGGTCACTGAGCAGAAGTGTGTTTCTGCATCAGACAAACATCATTCTGACTGGAGGGAGGAACCGTCAGCTGAATGCCACTGGGTCGCTCTCACAGCAGACTCCACCCTGACGTCCACCTCTGCAGGGAAACAACAGAAACCCTAAAGTGTTTCTGTTTACGTCTGAGATTTATGTTTGTCGGTGATTTCTCTTCACTAAACAAGCAGAAACCCGTCGCTCTGCTTCAGTTTACAACTAGAAAACCACAACAGTTCTACACGCAGAGCTATGGATGGAAAATTGAAGCCTGCTGAGGGTGTGGGCCTTTTGCAGCAGCCACAAAGTGAGCTCATGCCAGAACAGGGTTCTATATAAAACCAGCAGCCGACTGGTGAGTGAGCAGCACTGTGAGGAGACCAGACGGAGCCTTCAGCAGCCGGAACGGGAGTTTAAATGCTGAGTCACTCATGGAAAACAGGCCTCCAGCTCTCAGGGTAAAACGAGGGCCTGGAAAGCCCTCTGATGCAGCACCAGCTCACGTTGTCTTTATTCAGCTGCAGCGAGAAACCGAGCATTTTCTCTCCACTTCAACGTTCCCAACCTCAGCCAAATGTAGGCACAAGCAATCGGAACGAATGCCCCATCAGATCAGCATTCTTCACGTAAACATGTCAACCGGAATTTTCTGATCCGATACGGCCTGATTGGAATGAAATTCCATTTCGATTGAGAGAGGTAGTTTTGTCCGATCATCATTCCAGTTGACGTCCATGTACACATCCAATCGGACTGTTGGAGTACTGTGCATGTGTGCATCTTCAGCATGACGTCGTTCTGCCTTTGCAGACGCTCAGGACAAGTCGGAGGAGCTGTAGTGAGCAGGTGATCACCTCCTGTGGGGGAGGAGCAGCAGCGTTATGAACTGCTGAGCCTGTAGCTTAGTTAAAGCCATCAGTAAAACAAAAGCATACAGGTAAAAGGGCTGAGAAGGTCCATAATGGGGGTAAAACGGGGGTGGGGAGGTGGGGTGTTGTCGCTGTAAATGAATATGTAAATTATTTCTCCTCTTCATGTGAAAACACACCAGGGATGCGTTTGCGTGGCTCACCAAAATAAGAGCATCATGATCGGTCCTCATTTCACCAGCCTTATAGTTTATTTTTAATAAATAACTTCAGATTTATAAACTTTTATCATAAACAAGTTTTGTCTTCAGGCCTATTTAGGATCAAACATTCAGATGTTTATTTAAACACCTGAACAACCCAACCAACCAATCAAAATAAGATCCTTCTAACGAAGCAGAACGTGATTTAAACAAGCTATTTTGTTTTTGTGATCCTTTGGAGTAAAACCCAATCATAAATGTGGTTTATGGCACAGCGCCAACACGGATTAAAGCTGAAAATAAAACTTTTGACACTAAATAAAAACATTAAGCTACAAATTGAGAACACGGAAATGAAAAAATGCAATAAATAAATAAGAATAAAAGTCTCTCTCCTAACAATTCTGAACCCTCTGATGCCTCCATCTGCACCTAAGTAAACTGCTTTTCTGCCTTCAGGTAAATCACTTCTGATGTACATGAATCCCTCTGAGCTTTAAGTCCCACAACAACGAGCTCAACACATTAGCCTAAGCCCATTTGTCTTTATAGGCTTTGATCTAAAATGAATGAGAGGTTGCAGAAAGCAGGATGAACATAGAAACAAGAGGCTAAACACCACCACTAAAGCATCAGCGTGTCTTCATGTTCAGCTGCAATAAAGCCTGACAGAGGCTTGTATGTTTATGGGTGTGAGAGAGTCCTAGCATGCCAACATACCCGCGTCGTTTTACTCATTTTCTTTTTTGTCTCAGTATTTAAGAAGAAGCCCAACGGAGCTCGTCTCGTCTCAGTTACACACAAGATCGGTAGATGGGTAGCTGAGAGAGAGCAACGTGCTTAAGGAGGGATTAGGTCAGAATAAACAGTTTGTTCTTTCACACACCGTGTAGTTTCTGTACACACACACACACACACACACACACACACACACACACACACACACACACACACACACACACACACACACACACACACACACACCGTGTAGTTTCTGTACACACACACACACACACACACACACCGTGTAGTTTCTGTACACACACACACACACACACACACACACACACACACACACACACCGTGTAGTTTCTGTACACACACACACACACACACACACCGTGTAGTTTCTGTACACACACACACACACACACACACACACACACACACACACACACACACACACACACACACACACACACACACACACACCGTGTAGTTTCTGTACACACACACACACACACACACACACACACACACACACACACACACACACCGTGTAGTTTCTGTACACACACACACACACCGTGTAGTTTCTGTACACACACACACACACAGACACACACACACACACACACACACACACACAGACACACACACACACACACACACACACACACACACACACACACACACACACACACACACACACACACACACACACACACACAGACACACAGACACACAGACACAGACACACACACACACACACACACACACACACACACACACACACACACACACACACACACACACACACACACACACACACACACACCTGTTATCATTTGTTTTGAACCTGGAAATGCTGTTCAGGCTGTTAAACAGAAATAAAGAAGTCTGAACAGCTGAAGCATTAATATTAGTCCAGGTAACAGGATGTGATGTCATCCCCACCTGCACCAGTGCTATGATGTCATCATTGAAACATTCGTAAGTAGTTACTGTTTCCTACGGGAGCAGTGCGTCCCATGAGTGACCATTAAACCATCACTGTGAATTATTAATAGGTTGATCTAAAATGATATGTATGTATTAATAATGATATCTGACCAGTAAAGACAACAGGTAGCAGTCCTTCTGACACCTCTGAATGAAGGAAACTCTCTAGCAGACATAAACGTGAGCGAGCTCTTGTGGCTGCAGACAGACAGGAAAAGAGCGACAGGCACCTGCTGACCTGCAGAAGGGTCTCTTTGGGTGTGGCCAGCAGGTTGACAGCAGCAGAGAACTTCTGGAGGAACTCCGAGGCTAAATCTCCCAGGCCGATGCTCTGACTCCAGTCCATCAGCATGTCAAGGTTGGCTCGGATCTGCACACCACGGGACCACTGGTAGAACCCGGCCACAGAACCTGAACAAACAGGAAGTCTTCTTTTAGCAAAGCATCTCACATGCTGGATATTTACCTTCACCGTTACTTCCTGCTAGAACTCTGGATTCTTGTACTAAATATTGTACACTTATAATTATTTATGGTAACTGGAATTTAGTAAAATATTTTATTTATTTAAAGATAATTTCAACCATTTTATTTTTTATCTGAACTATTAGAAGTCCTGCTTGTTTTGGATTAAAAACGTTTTTGTACAACTGAAGACTTTTCTTTGAGCCTCTGGTTGGGGCTCACATACCGATGATGTGACGATGATGCTTGGTCAACATGCAAATATCACCTAAGTAACACATCACACACACTTTAACAGGTGTACACAGTTTCACTGAAGCTAAATGTTCAGAACTCAAACAACCAAAGGACCAGTATCTGTGTTCAGGAAGCAGGAAATGAGGTAAAAACTTGGCGTTGATGCTGATTGGTCAGCTGAGCCTGTACCTCTTTCCATCAGGGTGTTGAACAGCGATGCGTTGATGAAGAAGAACAGGTAGGCGCAGAGCTGTAAGGAGATGTCTGGGTGCACCTGGAAGGTGGTGAGGAGCTTCAGCGCCTCCTTTAGCACCTCCAAGATGCTGCTGAGCCCCTCTGGAACTCGTAGCTGACCTCGCTCTGAGAAGGGATTCCCATCCAGCAGACCGGACAGGGCTGAGTACATACTCTGTGTGGGGGAGATGGGTCACATCACCATCACACACAAGCTTCTGTTCTGAGTCACAGATCCAGAAACATCTGTTCTCTGGTCTGATTCACAGCACGGCCCCTCAGAGAGGCACGAACACGTTTCATTAGAAAACACACACGTCAAAGTGTTTCCTCATATAACTGAAGTGTTTTCCAGCTGTTACTATATTTCATTACTGACTCATTTGTTTCTTTTTACTGAAACGTTTCATCTAATCTGAGTGTAATCAGTTCTGGTTGCTGTGGTTTTTCACGGATAGAAAGCAGTGCTCCGGTTCTCATCTGACAGCTAAAGCAGACAGAATGGTTGCTATGACGTCCCATCCCAGAGCCGAGCAGCTCAGCAGCTTTTTATTCTAAATGGAAGTCGTACTGGTTGTACTGGTGCACCATTTCTTGGATCTAAAAGTTACCCACGTAACAGCTGAGCTTCAGACCGCAGGTTTCAGAGTCTTATTTCCTGATATTTGGACATCTCACCCCAGATTAAACAACATGAGTGTTTTATCTCCACGAATACCACACGCCTGGAGGAGTTCTGTCATGTGGTG